CACTTCACGGAGTTCGTCATGACGATGGCGCCAAATCCTGGGCTTGTGTTTAAGTTTAGGGTTTCGGGTTTAGGGGTTAGGGTTTAGGGTTTAAGGTTGATAGGATGGTTTCCGGGTTCAGGGCCATTTTTCGGGTTTGGGGTTTTTCGGAAGTTTTGAAGCTTTAGGGTCTAGGGCCGTGTAGGGTTTAGGATGGTTTAGGGCTTCGGGTTTAGATGGGTTAAGGGCTTATGGCCCAGAATGCTTGGCTTGTCTCCGACCTCTCTTCGCTGCCTTAACAGGACCCTATTCGAAGGTTCCCGTATCAAACGGGAACCTAACACAGAGGGCGGCACTGCACCATGTAGGCCAACAAGAACATTCAAACTGACTGCTACCAGAAATCCCGATAAGTCTGAAGCGAGGAAGATACCTTGCAAGAGGAGTGTTGCTTACATCTGCAACTAATGTGCTCTCTGGGTTCTTGCCGTGGCCTCTTGCTCGTACTCATAGCTTGATGAGCCTTGCTGCTCATCAGCAAGAACTGCCCCTGCTATGCTATAAACCCTGAACCCTGAACGCTAAACAGCCACGACGCCCGACACTGCCGGAACCACAGCTACCCACTGCTGCTGTTGCTCCTAGTACCACAAGTACCACAGCTGAGGTATCACTTACGCAGCTTTCGAGTTCGTCATCTGGGACAGTCCATGGCTTCTGTATGCATAGGGCTTCGGTTTTGGGGCTTTAAGCCTTGGGGATCTGTCTTGAGATTCAGGTGTCCAAGAATCTACACGCGACTTTCCGGCATCTAGGAACCCCAATCTCTGTGCCAGAAAGATGCTCGGGTCATCCAGCACCTGATTCGCGGTATGCGATGAAACCATATGGGTAGCTTTAGACAATAGGGTCTCTCTGTGGGCCCTTTACGTGGAAGAAGGCGTCAACCTCATAAGACGGACCCGAGCTAGAATCGACCTTAGTTCATTGCGCCATAGAGCTACCCATATGAGCTGTTCTCACAGTTGCACCTTACACGAACACCTGTTTCTGGGCCGTTTAAGAGACGGCTGATGTTTGCCACGACCCCAACATCTTTTCCAAAGACCCCTGGTTGAGGGTCCCATACTAGGCACCTAGAGCCTTAAACCTTAAACCCTAAACCCTAAACCCCTAAACCCTAAACCCTAAACCTTAAACCCTAAACGAAAAGCCCCAAACCCCAAGCCCGAGAAACGCACACCCAGAGATTCCAAAACCCCTTCATTAAGGAATATACCTCAAACCCTATTCGCGCTGAGCTAACAGAACCCTAAACTCGGTCCATAATGTAGGGGCTAACTAGAACAGGGTTTTGAAGGGTAGAAGACTAGAGTTAGAATTGAGGAGCCCCCAAAATAATGGAGGACCCCTATACTACGTGGACCGCTGGAGGAGGATCTCGAGTGCAGAGCCCTCCCGGGTATGGATCCTCTGCTCTCGGTTCCCTCCGGTTTTCCGCCTGTTAAAGACATGCAGGGTGTCGGGTTTAGGCTTTAGGGTTTAGTGTTTGTCCTTTTTCCTTCCTACTATACCAGTTTCAAGAGGGAGATTTCCTCTTTGAAAGACATGGCGGGTGTCCATTTTTCGGATTCTTGCTTTACCAGTTTCAAGACGGAGGCTTTCCGTTGGAGACCCCAGAACCACACGGGCCTCAGGATTCCGGGTACTACTTCCAGACTCAGTTTAAAGGAAACTACAGGTGGGGAGCTTAGGGTATATAGGGTTTTAAAGCTTCTATAAGGTATATAGAACAGATTCTATATGGCTCCTATAACGGTAACTACCCACCTGAAAATGTCCTAGACCAGCAATGCTGATTGGATCCACTTTGAAGATTTTCCCACTGCTGAAGTAAATCTTGGAAGACAAGATCCAGCACATCTTGGAACGCTAAACCCTAAACCCTAAACCCTAACGCTCATTGAAGAAAATCCCGAAATCTTGAAGCCTGAAGGCTAAACGCTCAAGACCCACCCCCCTCTCAAGCCTCCATCCTTCCCCCTTCGGCTGAACGTCCTATGGTAAGCACCCTAAACTCTTAAGCCCTAAACCCTAAACCCCTAAACCCTAAACTACTATAAGAAACCGCAGGCACCTGATCGCACGTCGCGCTCGCCGCTGCGAGGTGCAGGCACACACAAACCAGCAGGCGAAGCATTGCGCAGACTCAACCCTGAAGCCTCAAGACTTCAAGCAGAATGTAGGGGCCGGAGTTCCTTGTTATAATTATAGTAAAATGGGCCCCAAAACCCTCGTCTAACTGTTAAGGCCCCTATATTACGGCTCTTTGATTAAGGCTGGGTCTCTTGTCTGAGATGTGGATCTTTGTCATAAGGACCCAAACATTCTCAGGGCCATTCAAGCTGTCTCTGAGCAAAAACAATCACTAGCCATCACGGTAAGGTCAATCATCCAACGAGGGTAGCAACCGTAACTAGCATAGCAATGAGAACGACTGTACCGGTCATGAACACGTAAATTCTGCGCGAAAACGTGATATGGTCAGGAGAAATCCATGGATCTATGGTGCATAACCCTGGTGACTCCCAGTGTCAGGGTTTAGTTCATGGTCGCTGCTGCCACTTCGAATCAGAGCCACGTGCCCTCCTTAAAGCCTTGAGCCCAAACACAGCCTGAGCTTTGCATTCTAGACCCGATGCCTAGGCAAGTTTTCGATGGACTTGCAGCTTGACGGTTACCCTAACCCACCAGAACCCACTTTTTTGCAGGGTCCTTATAAATCCCATATTAGGGTTTATAATAAGAATCAAGAAGAACCTACCAAGAAGTGGCTTTTGGTAGGTTAAGGTAGCGTGTAACGTTCAGGATGAGGGTTGCGACATTTGCAGAGCAGGGCTCTGGGGCATGGAAAGTTTAGGGCTTGAGGATTAGGGTTTAGGGTTTGAGGATGCTCCTGCAGCTGCATCTGCAACTGCAACTGCAGCTGCATGTTTCTGAGGGTTTAGGGTTTAGGGTTTTGGGTTTAGGGCTTAGGGTTTAGGGTTGAGGCTTTCACAGAGCAAAGATCATCTTGGCAGGCCTTCGCTGCATGTCTTGCAGGACACCTTCGCAAATGGCCACCTTGTCTGCGCTTTGGGATCAGGTCTCTCTGACAGCCCCGGTGGAGAAACAGGTGCTACCGGGCGTCTAGCTGGGTGTCTGCAGCAGGAGTTTGTTTTCTGGGCTTCAGAGCTTAGGGACTCTGGCAGCGTGTCACGCATAAGAGGCCGAAGTGTGCCAGGCATCGACCCAGTGAAAAGGAACAACAACGAAGATCCTTCCCAAAACCTCCATCTACCCTCCATTCGACCCTAGATACCCTTAATTTTGGGACCAGAGGGGTAGTTCTCTAAATCAGGGTCCCCTTTTGGGTCCCCAATATAGTGCGGCACCCTTATAAAGAGGACCCTGAAAGGGACCCCGAACTTAGAGAACTACCCATATACCCCTATTGGAGGGTACTTGGAGGGTCCTGGTTTTGATGTTGCAAAGGGGATTGGACGAAGGAGCTTTGGGTCTGGAGCAATATAGGGACCTTAGAAATTAGAATAGGGTTTTGGGGCCCCTGAATATACTATAATCATAAAAAGGAACCACCAAAATAGTAATAGGTAATTATTAAGGCCCCAATTTTACGCAGGTTAAAGGGTACAGCGTGTAATCCTGGAGCATCTTAGATTCTTGCTCAGGGTTTAGGGTTTGTATAGTCCTTATATACCCCTTATATAGCCAGGTAGTCTCCATATTAACCCCAATAACCTACAAGGGTCCCTTGTAAGGGTCCCTCCTAAAGCCCTTAGATTGCGCATGTCGGAGCACACCTGTTGTGAACCCGGCAGCTACCTGCAGCCTGAGGCCGAAAGGCAAAGCAACCTGTAGGGTTTAGGGTTTAGGGTTTGGGGTTTAGGGTTTAGGCTTTAGGGTTTAGAGTTTAGGGTTTATTGTTTAGGGTTTAGGGTTTAGAGTTTAGGGTTTAGGGTTTAGATTTAGAGTTTAGGGTTTAGGGTTCCTTGTAGCTTCCGCAGCTGTAACAGTCCAAATGATTGTAACCCCTCTGACCGCCGATCTGCCTGCTGCACTCCAATCCTAAATCCAAGCCCTGTATGTAGAAACAAGAAAGTCATCAGTCATTAATATAGGGGCCTTAATAACTATACTAGGGTTTTGGGCCCATTATTCTAAAATAAAAAAACAATCAGCCCCCAAAATAGTATTGGTAATTACTTAGGCCCCTACATTAGTGTGTTAAGGCTTACAAGGCTCCACTCCTCGCATAACGCTCAGCCACGGGACACTCGAAGGGGCACCGCGGACAGCATTCCTAGCAGCAGGGGTCGGTCGGAGATCCTTTTCTGGCGTGCTCTTTACTACCCTGCTAAAATTATAACTTTTAGTACCCCTAATATCAAGAAGGCTAATCCTAAAAGTGATAAAGCTATAAAGTGACTGTAAAGTTCAACCAAGCTTTTCGTGGTTCGGGTCTTGTGGTTCGAGCTACATTCCTAGGACCATGGCAGCTGAGTTCATCTTTTTGAGCCTCCTTGCAAGTGTGTTCAAGCAGCAGGTTGGGTCACGGAAGTGTTTCTTTTGCAATGGTGACACTGTACAAGCTCCAGTCTGTACAAGCTCTAGATAAGCAGTTGCTACAAGCCGGCATCAATTGGGTTATGTTAATCATTGCTACTTGCAGCTAGCAGTTCCGTGACCTGTGCGACATTTAGCACGCAATGTGGACACGTGTTCACTGGAGGAATGCGGTCTTGAATGCTCAAAACAGCATGCCAAAGCTTTTGAACAGCTTCCAGTGGCCCAAGGTCTCTAAGAATTGCATATTTATTTCTGCATATTGCCTATAGACTCCATTGTAGTTCCTTGTTTTGGTTTAACCAACTATATATTAAGGATCTTATAAGGTAACCCCCAAAAGGAACTACCATGGAGACTATAGGTGATTTCTCATTGACAAGACCAAGGCCTTGTCACGGCTCCTGCTGGCTCAACTTCTCTAAGAGCACGGCGGCTGCAGCTCGCTTGGCTTGTTTCTTGCCTTCAGCTGCCCGACCTCCGAGACCATAGCAGCCTATTGCTTCAATAGACCGCAAGACCGACTCATACTTCAAGATGCACGTGAAGTCCTTGCCATCCGTACGGTGCTCCTCCTGCAATTCAACCTTGGTCTTCTTGCAATACAGATTTAGCGCTGCAAGGGCGCTGGTCGACGCATTGTCGGATGTCAGCAACACTTCTCTGGCATTCCGCTCTCGCGAGCGCTGCGCCGCCGTCTCATCGCGGGTGTCTGTGGCGACACGTTCAGGCTTGAAGCTGCGTACGATCCTTAGACTGTCAGAGGTGCCATGAGACGTATGCAGACTTGCACTCATGAACTAGAACACGACACCCAAGGTGTTCCTATGTTGCCCCGCTTCTCCAGCTGTTGCGCTTCCACGGCGGCCAGGGACGAGGTTGGTCGGTCCGGGCGCTCAGAAAGCACAAGGAAAGAGGAGTCCTCTTGGCGCGCACGACCCCGGCCCTGCACAAAGGACACTGAGTTGATCATGGGGTCAAAGCGGATGACGCAGTTGGCTGCCGGAACATCCATGCCCTCCTCGGCGACCACCGTCGCAATGAGCAAGTTCACTCTTCCATCTGCGAACTGGGCCAGGCGGGCTTTGGAGTCCGCGGCCGAGACGCTGTAGGAGGCCGTGGCGGGTGACGAAGTGGCATAGATGCACGCCGGCTTGAACTTGCTCACAAGCTCGCCGTCGGTTAGGATGACATGCTCCAGGACGTGTGTCATGATCCGCTGCTGCACGAAGAGAATGCCGCGGAACGAGCCATGCGTCTGGGAAAGGGTGGCATGTTCATAGAGCAATGCATCCTTTAAGTGCTCGAAGCGCGGGAAAGAATCCCCTGCCTCGTGCCAGAACTGTGCCAAAGTTGCTTCAGCCACAGGTGGCCAGAGGCCTGCTCTGGGCTCCCTTTCCCCCACCATTTGCAAATATGCTGTGGCAGCATCTTCTGCTTCTTCCCACGATGTCGCAAGCATTCTCAGGGCTTCATACCAGTGTTCCAGCGACGCAAGCTTCGAACATATTGGGATCCTCTTGTGCGCGTAATCTCCCCAAGTCCTGGGAGCAGGATTCTGCAGAGGAGACTTGAAACCAGCATCCACAGCTGCCACAGCTGTTTCCAGGCACTGAACCACCGAGAATAGCTTCTTGGTGAACTGGGTCGACATTCCGCGTTGCAGGCGGTCGAAGAATGTCTTCGCCATGAGATGTGGTTTGCGGTCTGCAGCTGGCAACACGCCCTCCGGCACGAAGCTGGGAAGGTTGGCTGGAAGAACTGGCTCCGCCGCCTCTGGGGTGCTCTTTACTACCCTGCCAAAATTATAACTGTTAGTACCCCTAATACCAAGAAGGCTAGTCCTAAAAGTGATAAAGCTATAAAGTGACTGTAAAGTTCAACCAAGGCCTTGCTGTGGTAGCCACCAGTTGCAAGCTCCTCGCCACCGGCAGTGGCCATGTGCCGAATTTGCAGCTCGCGGCAAATCCGCGTTACATCCTTCTGCACCTTTCCCTCTCCAACTGCATAGGTCAAAGAGGCCGACAAGCCTAGGATTTGCGGTCCAAGTCCAAGCTGTAGCTTTGACAGCGACAGCGCCAGCCTACGGTAGGGATGATCCTTCAAGACATGATGAACTTCGTCAAAGACCACCAGCTTGAAAGCATCCCATTGGAACACGGCAGCTCCTTTGGACTGTGTCATCTGGAACGCTTTTGGGGTCGAGACTAGGACATCGAAGTGCACAGGAGGGGACATACCGCCCATGAACTCCGCAACCTGCAGCCTTGTCCAATCTCTTACTGCTTTAGCCTGCTGCTCCACGAGGAGGCAAGTCGGCACAAGGAAGAGGCATGGAGGTCCTAGTCGACGGATAAGCTCTGAGGCTATTAGCGTCTTGCCAGCGCCCGTTGGCAGCACCGCCAGAGTGTTCCCAGACGCCAGGATTTCCTCGAGAATCCGCGCCTGGTATGCCCGGAGCTCCATCGTACCCACAGGGCGATTTGAAGTATGGCAGAATTGCTTGGGCCTGTACGCTTGCAAGCGTTGCCTACCGGCTTCTGCACGACAGCTTCAATCATGTCGGCCCATGTAATATACAGAAATCATGACCCTAAAACAAAATCCTAAGACCTCAACCCTAAACAGAAACATAAATACATGTATGTTGGTATGGGAACGTGAGTACCTTGCAAAAGCACTGCACCGGCACGCACCCCGTTCCAGGCGTGTATGCGGCTTGATGTCAATTAAGATCTAGTGGCAAGGAGGGTAGGGATGAAGCTAGCATGCAGTGCAGTCAAGCAGGTTCTGACCCTTATTCCAGTGCCCGAACAGTCTGATTGCTCTGGGTCCAGCCTGGAAACGGGCTTTTCGCAACCTCACCCGGGCCTCGGTGTGCCTGTAGCATGCTTGGATTTAGTCTTTAGGATGAGGATGCTTCCCCCCCTCCCTACTTGCAGGATCATGGGATTTGGTTTGTATAGGAATATAAGTAAGGTAACTATGGCTATATCTACGTATAGGGTACTTATAACCCTACTTACTAAGTCGCCGGATCCTCTAAAGTAAACCTCCCCTGGCCCCAAACTTCTTCCTTTCAACGGAACGCTGAGACCGACCAAGACCCTGAAAAGATCTCGTGGAACCTCCAGACAGCCCTGGTCCCTGCTCCGGCATAAGCCTATGTGCCTTTAAAGCAAAATTAAGGTACCCTAAGGGTCCATGTACCCAAATAGTATATACTTTGGGCTTAATGTAGTCCCTATATAGGTACTTTAGGGCCAATGTATATACTATTTGGGTACATGGACCCTTAGGGGTAGCTAAGTCGACATGCAAAGCAAATCGCAGAGCACAAGCGTGGCGAGGCACAGGGTGGAGGCCACGGTGGCGACATTTGGCCTGGCAGCGAAGCATCTTGGCTGACCTCTGAACCCGGCCTTCTAGCCTACTTACTATAGGTCATATACAAGCCCAAAAAGTTAAAGTCCTAAGAGCAAACCAGAAGAGCGCCAAGGCATCAACAGTGAGCCTTCTGAGCGATTTAAGAGATCGAGATGGGGATTGGCGTTCATGGATGCAGCTTTTTCGTGTTCCAGGAGTTTCCAGATCCAGAACTTCGATGACACGAAGCTACTTGGAGGATCATGGGACTTAGTAGGTAGGGATATAAGTAAGGTAACTATGGTTATATCTGCTTATAACCCTAATTAGGGTACTTATAGCCCTACTTACTAAGTCCCCTGATCCTCTAAGTATGAGTACTTGGGCTCAGGATTGCGGAGTCGGGCAGGAGTTTTGGAGCCTTGCCGCCTGTGCGTCTGCCATCGTCGAGTGTTCCGACGGACACGGCTTGAAAGTAATCCCCGGATATAGTTTAAGCCTTTAAGCCCACCGACAGTAGTTGTAAGACCCTTCCCTGAACGACCCCAAGGTTTCAGAAACACAGAAATACATGACACAAGCTGCCACCCCTGTGCATAGCAGTAGATGACCTTCATACAGCTGGTCGGAGCTTCCCTGTGATATCTTGCCGATGCTGACAGCAACAGGTTCAAACGTTCCGAATATGTTCTAATGCTTGGTCGAGAATTGCAGATGCCCTCTTCGGGACTGTCTCGTTCTACATCCTCATAGTCCAAGGTCCGTCTCAGATTGACTATGGTGAAGTCAGTTGCACAAAACATACGGCAGCCCAACGAACATCCCAAACTAGAAACGTCTGGGGCCCAAAACTTCCGAAAGCAGCTTCAGTGCCTCCCCCGGTTGCAGTGTAATATAGTGGCCTTAATCATTACCTAGAGTTGCTTACTATAATTATAGTATAATGGGATCCAAAACCCTATTCAAGTTATTCAGGCCCCCATAATAGCAGAAGGCTCGTCTTGGCATACAGTGGCAATGCCTTCGACCTCTGTTGGGAAAGTCCCCCCAAGCTCCCTGAGACCTACCTTAAGAACCCAAAACCTACTTTTTTGCAGGGTCCCTATAAATCCCATATTATGGTTTATAATAAGAACCTACAAAAAAGTGGGTTTTGGGTTCTTAAGGTAAGTGCTGAAACTGCTCCTCAACTTGCCTCTTTCACAGGAGCACTTTGACATGCCTCACATCTGAGAGGTTACCATCTAAAAGATATGGGTAGTTCTCTAGTTAGGCCCTCTTTTTGGGTCCCAAATCTAGTACGGCACCCTTATAAAAGGACCCTCATTTAGAAAACTACCCAAAAAAAATTATATATATATATATACACATATATATATACAATTATATATATATATATATGCTACCCCCCCAGGACCTACCTCGAAGCCTTTTCTTGTACTGTCTAGACGACCTTGCGACTCCACTCCGAACAAAAGCGTTGTATTGCGCAGCCTTCCCTGTCTACGACGACACAACACCGTTAGACGAACCAAGACAATACCGCGAAGTATTGTCCAATGTCCTCTGTATGCTACGCTATTAAACGGCGCGCTCCTCCTGATGTTCTTTTTTAAAACCGTGATCTATAGGGT